TGCTCCCTACCAAAATCAGAAAGTGATAACCACTACTGAGACCTGGTTGTATAGATGGTCAGATGCCTTTTAAACAGCTGAGGTCTGTACACTGAGAATAGCACAGCTTTGCTTTTTACTTTTTTGCTTTTTTTTAGGCTGACAGCCTAACCCTATGAAGCAAAAAGAAGCTTTGAGGATAATTTTGAAGTTAATAACTGGTTTTGCTTTTTGCTGGGGAAGAGGAAGAGTGTTATAAGCAGTCTAATGTTGAAGCACTTTGCAAAAAAAAAATTTCTGTCATATTCTCTATTTTAAAAGTAGAGAAACTGAAACAAAAGGAAATTAAGGCACACAACCAAACTGAGAATAGAACTTTGTCCACATCAATAGTTCATATATTAGGTCATATTCTTATTGTAACATGACTTGCCTAAATAAAAGTAAAAGATACAGTGTACTAAGACTTAGCAGAATGCTTTTTTTCCTGACTGATATGCAGCAAACTAGCAGCCAGGGAACAAATATGTAAGTACACTAAGTTAACACAGATATATTGACTTCTTCTGGTTGACTGTGCCATCATAAAATGCACCTGAATAAACTTAATTAACCATGAGATAGACACATAGAATCCAATTTCAGGGGCTTAGACATGGTTTATGAGGACATCAATCAGGAAGGCAAATTTTTCCCATTGGTTACTGGAAGCAACATTCAGCAGCTGAAAATGAGAAAGAAATCCAGAAGAAAAATTACTTCTAAAAAGTAACTAGAGTGAGTTTTTTTGAGAGATGGTGTATTGATCTCAGTGGAAAAAATCCTATTTACTTAAATGCAAGAACTTTGTTTAGGACTGCTAAGGAGAAGGTGATGTATTCCAGAGTACACTTAACATAAACGACCAAAATAGTCATCTGGAACAGAAACAGGAATCGAGTTTTGCCTTATTAGTTTTCAGAGCCCTAACTACAGGACTATAAAAGGATCAACTCGTTATACTCTCCCCACTTTGGTCCAATAAATATTTAACAATTTCAAGTGAAGTAGAATAGTTTTGATGAAGAGAAATAAAAAGGCCCTTTCTCAGGATACTGTATGGCTTGGAAATCACAGAATAATATTAGGCAGGTTCAGGCAAGAATTAAACCTGGGTTTTTCAGAGCCAGCTAGTCACTGGAAAATATACGAGGAGACA